TGAATGTGACAAGAGAAGTCACGTCCAATCCAGCTTCCCTTCGCCCACCACCACAAAATTTGAATACGAAATTTGCTGCCTACGGAGCGGACGACGTTTTTCAGCACTCGATAGATCCGTGTCTCTTCGACTTGGTTCACCACCGACATAGACGCAATGGGCTTGAGCAGGAAGACTATTGCAAATTTCCTTGTATGCACGAGTCTACGGGTCGACGAATCTCAGGCCAACTTTTGGCAGTCGTCTCCGAGTCCATGCTCTCAAATCGACGGCTACCGACACCGCCCACGAGCCGACCCAGAAGCGCTTTGAGGCCCGAGGCGCTCTCTTGACGCTCGAGCCTTGCATTTTTGCCCAACTCACCCTGTTTACCTGGGCTCAATGGCATGGACGGGAGAACGTACATGTGCTTGCTGCTATAAAGTGCGTCGGTCGCTTTCGTTCACCGTCTCCCAGGTCCCGAATCTCATCCGCTTGTTAACAGCTAGATTGGATCAAACGTGCCCTTACATCCGCCTGCTGTGCCGCGTTGAATGGCGTCGCGGGAACGACGACGACGACGATAGTCAATCTCACAGGTACTCCCAGGTCTGAGCTGGTTCATCTCAGTGGCGTTTGCGTGAAGATGGACGTTTTTGGATGCAGAAGGAAGGTGTTTGGACAATCGAGCGGTGGATTTTTGGTGAGAGGGACTCAGGTACGTTTCTCTCACTGATTTCAAGGCGCATCCTCCCTCTCAATCTGAAGCTTTCAAAGTAGCGACCTCGTCCTCGACGATTTGTCGATTTTTTTTCTTGACATGCTACCCCGCATTTGCCCCGTTTTGGCAATCGGCGACGTCTGCATTCCGGACGCCACTCAACTGCCTCCTGCCTCGCTCACCTGCCTCGATATCTCCCCGCTGAGCAGATGGAACATCAACATGGAAAATCATTTTACATAACATGCCGCCTTTAAGGAACTCCACGAAAAAACGAGGCAAGGCTGGACGGACCGCCACCCCTTCCCCCTCCCCATCGCCATGACCGCCGCCACCACCATTCTCGCAGTGAACCTGGCTGCACTGACATGCTCGACGTTGTTCTACGGCATGTTTGTGGTGCTGTTCTCAACCTCGATGTATCTCCTCGTTGGGCGGTATCTGGCTGTCCGTCGCGGGTCGAGACATTCGCCGGGTGGGCATAACCCCCGCTCGATCTTTCGATCGACGGTGTTTATTGCTGCGGTGTTGCTGTTTTGTGCGGTTACGGCTGTGAGTCGATCCTTCCTTCTCCTTCACTTATCAGGACACCGACTGATTGGCTGAATGATGTGCTGTGGTTAGCATTGGGTTACGACTGTTCGTCGCGCCTTTTTGGCTTTCATCTACTTCCAGCATGGGGGTGCAGCTGCAGAGTTCTATGGGGATCCTACGCAAATGACGGAGCTTGTACAAGCAGGGTTCTTGATGCTGTCTATCTTAATCGGGGATTCACTTATCGTATGTTCTTCGGCGTCTCTTACTTTTCTTGTGCTGAGAGAACGAATCTTTTCCTCCTCGGCTGGCAGATACATCGTCTATGGGTTGTTTGGGAACATCGGATTGTTGTTATATTATTCCCGATATGCACCCTTGTAGCGCTTACTAGTGAGCCGCGTTCTTCTCAGGGGATTCGTACACTCCTCATGCGATTTTTAACTACAGTGTCTAGCGCTGTATCCATGTACACGACATCAAGGAAAGGGTCTGGAGAAGACATATTCTCGGATCCTTGGCTGACGAGTAATTGCATCCTAACGCTAGTGTAAGCTCGTACTTCTGCCCTGCCTTCGCGTCGATCTGACGGTGTGAACGTTCTCCAGGACCAATGTATACAGCACTGGTACGCTTCCCGGCCTCGGTCTTCTCTCTTAGTTCTCACATTCCTGGTAGTCCTCATTACTATCAAAATCTGGAATATCACGCATATCGCGCGTCCCATTGGCGGGTCGAATCTACGGGTGCGTCTACCCCCTCCGCATATCGAGCCTCTCCACTGACTTGTCGTGCAGGGCTTCCTCGTCATTGTAGTCGAGAGTGCTGCCATATACGCGTGCGTACTTCCTCCACACCTCGTCCTCCACCTCACTAATCATCTTTCCCGAAGATCATGGGCCGTCTTCTTCACCATAGCCTACCGGATGCGCTCGCTCGTCCAGTTCCTCGTCATCCAAAGCGCACCGGAGGTCGTGGGCATCGTGAACGCGCTGATACACACGCGCGTGGGGCTTGGGTGGGCGATCGAGGCGCAGGAGCCGCCGACGCCTGCGGCGTCGAGGATGGCGTTTGCCAAGATGGAGAGTGTGAGGGGGAGGACGCCGCATGGGACCGCGGGCGGAACGGGGACGGGGATGGATGGGGATGTGGAAGATATGGAGCGGGAGACTGAGATCGAGAGCGGGAGTGGACGGCGGCGTGTGCTTGAGCGGAGGGGTACTCCGATTCAGAGGCTGCCGAGTTTGGAGTCGGAGTTTAGGACGGCGGAGGGGAGTATCAGTATGGTGAGCGTTGATGATGTGGAGAGGGGGACGTTGTCGCGTCGGCTGTCGGGCTCAGTGGTAGAGAAGTCGATTGAGGGGGGAGGGCATCATGACGAAAAGTACGACGATGATGCGGGGTTTGATTCGCACAAGTCCTCCGTGGATGAAAAGGCATGAAACATGTATTGCTAGTGTAGGTAAATACCCCGCTGTATCTCGGATGAATCTTCGTTTATGGGTGGATGGAAGCTCACTCTTTCAGAGCCAAGCAGTTTCTGACCCTAACCCCACCTCTTGGCTTTTGCTTCCGACTGTGACCATCTTCTCACTGGCTGCTGTCTTGTCGATACTGTACCCTCTACGATTAGAATACAAAGAACCGGAGATAGTTGGTGAGCTATCTCCCTACTCAAATGACTGCTGGGCTGAAAGGATGGACGATGCTTTCAAAGTTCTGGCAAGGAGAATCCGAAGGATCTTAGACGCAGAATCCACATCTTTCTGTCGACGTAGCGTCGTCGCCCATGTCAAATGTTGAAGATCTGTCCGCAGTGGACGAGCTATTGAAGACCAATGATCCTCCTGCCGAAGCGCAAGTCCCAGCTGTCCAGAAATCCCTGGAAACTCGCCTAGATCGCCTCGCTGTGTTCAGAGCAAAGAAAGAGGCCATACACGAGGAAGTCATCGCTCTTAGGTCACAGCTAGCCGACCTAGAGGATGAACTGAAGGCTCTAGAAAAAGCCATTGACTCTGTCGAGGTCGATATCCTCGCCCATGCGTCGGTACTTTCGGTTGTCAGGCGTATTGCTCCTGAGATTCTGGGAGAGATTTTTCGCTTAACGCTTCCGCATACCCGCAGAGTCGGTGCCCGTGTCGCGTCTGTCGCCCCGTGGTTGCTTTGCCATGTCTCGCGCAACTGGAGGGCTGTAGCGCGGGGCGATGCCCTTCTATGGTCGCATATCAGGGTGAATACAATTAGTCCTATTCCTGACCAAGCACATCCGCTGTGTCCGCTGGAAACGCAGATTCGTCTATCTGCCAATGCACCTCTAACTATTGATTTCTTTGTTGGCCCGGGGGTCCACCGTCACGGGAATCGCCACGTTCCGCATATTAGGAGACTCCTTGACGCGATTGTGAGGCAAAGCAACCGTTGGGAAATCGCTCGGCTATACTGGTCAGCAGACAGCTCCGACAGCCTCGCCTCGCTCGCCGGGATTGTAGCCCAGCTTGCTCAGCTTCGGCACTTGGCCTTCCACCCTTACCTCCGTACGACGGAGTTGCCGGTTGCACTGCTCTCTATATTTGCTGCCGCACCAGCTCTTCGGGAAGTCCTTCTCACAGATGATGGCTTCTGTTCTCCATCCCCGCAGCTTGAGCTGCCCTGGCCCCAACTAACACTGCTTCGCCTATGCTCTTCTCAGAGCTACCTCTTCAAGAGTCTGCCTCGGGCAGTTAACTTGATGGAATGCGCAATCGGCCCTATCCAGGGAATAGCGGATCCTTGCTTCGATGTGCTCCTCCTACCAAGTCTGCGTCGTCTAACGCTCTATCGCACGGAACCTTGGCTCGGGCTCAAGACCCCGCTTCTTGAATACCTGCATCTGGAAGGACCCATTGATCCAATCCCTCAAATACTATCAAGCAACCCACTACCTCATCTTAAGAGCTTGAAATTGACAGAGATAATGTCTGACGCGCCGACCACGCTCCCTATTCTCCTTCGCCACGTCCCTCATACGCTCACTGAACTGGATGTCTACTTCGACTATGACCGCGATGATGATCTGGAGGATATATCGTCGGACGCCGAACGCGGCTTCATATCTGCTTTTGTCGCAGCTATGAAGCGATCTCATACATTATGTGTGACTCTATTCCCAAGGCTAACCTTGCTGCGAATTGGTTTGCCTTATGAATTTGAATACACCGACGAGCTTGATGGCTCCTTATTCGAGATGGTGGCATCTCGATGGAAGCGGGTTACAGATTCCGGTCCAGGGGAAGTACCGGAAAATTGTTTGCTGAATCGGGTACGTATCTCCGAGTGGGAGGGTAGAGTAGCTTTATGCCCCACTGTCTGGAGAAAATTTGGAGAATTGCGACACGAGGGTCTCGATATTAATGAGTTCGAGCAACGGGTACGTGGGGGGGAGGTTCAATGAAAGCAGCTCTCATTAATGCTACCCTGTATCATTCATTGAAAATCGTAGTCTGCTTGCTATTCCCTTCAAGTGATCAGTTGTTAAGTAAGTATCTTGGTAAGTATTCAACATATTTCAAGCACCATGAGTTGGTTCTGAGAGAGTTAATCAGGTAGACAGTCCCAGTGATTAGCCAATGTCATATATACTGTATTCTCAAACACTCAATCGTAGTTGACTCTTCCTGACCACCGAGCGTCGAGCTCAGGTCTGATTGTAGTATTACGGCCAAACTTTGAGTGCAAGTAATATATATAACTGTATATACTGCTTTCACACCAGCCCACCTTCGCTTAAGGCCTTGTGGTCCAGAGGCACGATACTTGCTTTGGGACAAATGTAGGCAACTGCAAGTGACCTGGGTTCGATTCCCGGCAAGGCCCCGCTTTTTTTCTTCTTCTTCTTCCTCGACTTTCATTCCCCTTCTTACTCCGTGGGATATACATACATCTGCTGTCGTGTTGGCGTGGAGGCTGAATATGATTAGGAGGTCTGCCATCAACATTGTTCAGAACTTCCGGTTTTGGAACTAATTCTGCTGTTGCTCGAGAAAAAAAGAAAATGCATGCTGTCCCCCGTTCTGCACGAGGTCCGAACCTTTTGTCAGACGCAGATAGGGGCGGTTGGGTAGGGCCTTGACTGGGAATTGAACCCAGGACCACTCCCAAAGAAGTCCTACAACAGACCGGGTTGCAACCCGAAGGGAGTATCATGCTACTAGACCATCAAGGCATTGGACCACATCTGATGCTTCACCATGGCCAGAGTAGTACAGTCTCCAGGTAATTTAGCAGGTAGAGCATGACTCCAATGTTCAAAAACTTCAAATCCACTTCTGAGTCTGGCTTAACGGTTACTAGGTATGTTTAACAACTTCGACCAACTATTTCTGCTTTTGCCGCACTACTAGCCTAGGAGAAATTGGCCCGCATATAGATACAACTTGAAGCTAGCTGTGCAGCTGATTCGGTGCACAATGATGATGATCATGGACTGAGATTAATTGAACTCATGGGCCAGTGTCAGCATATGTTCGACAACTGTCAACCATCCATTTTCAATTGGATTGTGATCACCTCTTTTGTTATAAAAATTGACCTTCTCCTGAACAACTTCAATTTCGTGGGCATATTCACGGAAATCTGTGAGGCGCCCACAGAATTCGGGAACTGTATATGTGCTGCCCCACGGCTGTCAGTCAGACTTTGACATGGCTACCTTCGAAGCTTCAGTGACAAGGCAGCACAGATTGAGTTGCTACTGAAATAGTACAGTATAGCTTGATGCACCCGCAGATTTATGCACAGAGAAGGACTGCCACGGTCGACAAAAGGATTACCTCACATTTAATGAATTTTCTTTTCCCCCACTGCCCCACATATAAGTAGTGCTTTAGGAGGCATGATATACTTGCGTGGATCAGCAACTTCGTCTTTCAACATACTCAGAAAGGAAAGACTGGCCATGGGAGTCAGTTCGTGCGGGTTTTTTACAAGGCAGAAAATCAGCCACAAGGTTCCTTGTTCCACTTGCAGAAATAGACATCTTTGTTGTCAGAAGACCCAGTCTAGTTTGATAGAAGATGGACTCAATCATTGATTTTTCAGGTCCAAATAGGTATTTCCGTCTGCTCCCAAGATAGATCGATGAATTTCTTGAACTGTATCAATTCAATTGGCCTCGAGTAATCTGTGGCAAGTTCAACGCCAAGGTAGTGAAGTAATATGGCGGTTAAAGTGCACATTTAATAATTCCCCCCAAACATACGAAATTTTTGCCAATCCCCCTATAAATGGGGTGCTTGGTATAATCCCCCACAAAAGACACCTTCGAAGTCGACGGAATTATTTGGGGGCAAATCACGAACTTCCCCCCAAATACAAAGTCAAACTTTCCCCCCAAATAAACTTCCAAGTTCCAATTTTCATTGTTTGACCTAACTCTCTCAATTCAGAAGTATCTTCCCAGTAAGCACCCTGGTTAGTCCCACTACTCTGTCCATCATTGGTTCCACGCAAATTATAGGTAATTTTGACCATCAGTACAAACGCGGCACTCCCCGAGGTCCGAGGTCGGCATTGGCAAAAATTTCGTATATTTGGGGGGAATTATTAAATGTGCACTTTAACCGCCATAAAGTAAAACAGCTCTTCTCCCTTTATATGATTTGGCCATGACTTGCAGGCCTTAGCTTGAAAACACAGAGGTTTCAGATCCGGCAAATTCCGGCAGATGTTGAAACTCAAGATCGTTGAGTGTGCCGAACCAAAAGTGTAACAGTCAACGCAGGAGAGAAGGTTCATTGTATTTCATTGTCACTTGTATTGAAAATAACTGCCTGCAGTCAAACTTGAAGTTGAGTCGGACACATTTGCACATGAAAAGTGTGGACCACGATTCTATCGGACAATGAGAACAAAAAAAAACAATAGCATTACAGTATAGCCTCCGAGGCGACTTATTCACGGAGATCTCGTTGCGGACGGCATACAAGGCACTGCGCAACAATACCGATCAGCATTACTGTAGCCGTCATGGCGATTGGACGCCACCATCTGTTCAAAAAGGCCGCAAGTTGAAAAAAGGTATGTCCAGTGTGGGCGTGGGCTTCTTCGAGACGGCAAAAACGATTGAGCTAGCAGAGATACGCGGGAGAAGGTCAAGTTCAAGCCAGGTTTGTGACCGCTCGAATCCAAGAAGATGGGTAGGTAATATTGAGTCAGTATTGAATTAGTATTCTCAAAAATGAAAGACTCAGAATGTGCCTCCGAGTCATTTCGAGTCGTGGCCAGTGTGCACTGGATTAGTATTCAATCAATGAGGATGTGCTAGTCAGAAACAAATCACCTGCGTGCTAATTCTGTAAATTTGTATCTTTGAAGTTCATCCAAGTGAGCGACATTGATGAATATGCACATTGACACCTTGTTCTACACACTACAAGACTTCCCGTAAGATCGACGGTAAAGGGAAATTTGGGCAAATGGCTACAGATAAGTATTGTACAACCACCGATACCGGACGAACTTGAATGAACAGATACTAGACGATACACAATGAATAATAAACATGTCGGCGCCACATCGTCCAGGGTATCGAGACACATGGTGCCCTACCAGAGGGCATTGATACCTACAACCAGCGTAGTGTAAATGTCCTTCTTATAATTCGAGTCGTTCGTTCATTTGCTGCATAATACAGACAATTTCCTAAAAGCTTTGCATCAGAACGAGCTCGCGACACGAGTATCAAAATCCGCCACTCACATTCATTCATTCTATCGCCCTGTGCGTCGTCGACGACGAGTCGCGCCTCCGGGTATATACTCGTCGTTGTCGCTGTCCTCTGCATCCACGTAGAACGCTTTACTTGTTGACGCACGCGCATTCCGTGGCGATGTGCGTGTTTTGCAGTACGGAGTTGACAGTTCGGCGGCTTTCGATGGATGGCCGGGAAGTTTCCGAGTTCCCCTGAGGCTGCGTGTGGCAGCACTGGAAGAGGTAGCGTGCTTTCCTGTGGGCTCGGACGTCCGCAGAGGAGGAGAAGGAGGGGAGTTGTACTCAGGCGATGAACTCGCCCGAGTAACACACCTGCGCTTCCGCTCCCGTTTATATAGCCCGTACTTGATCTCCGCATCCACGTCGAGCGCCCAATAACATCCCTGCCCCGGGTCTTGGTCAGACCGTGGTATCTTCTTATATATTGTCTTGAGGCTTAATACATGGCGTATCGAACGCTATCCATTCAAATTAATCTGATGTAGCAAGAATACACAAAAGCGACGACTCACATCAAGTATATCATCCGCCTCCAAATGAAACTGCTCCCAGAAAAATCGAAACCTTTCTCGAATCGCGCCGCAGATCTGCTGCAAAGTGAGCATGCCTTGGGCGCTGCCGTAGATCGCGAGCTTGATGAGCACGGGGAGGGTCGCGCGGGGTTTTGTGCCGGGGAGGGGGTCGGGGAGGGCGTAGAGGTTGATGGGGTGCGGTGTGGGGATGCCGAGTTGACGGCGGAGGTAGGGGCCGGCGTCGGTCAGGCCGTGGGGCGTGTGCTGCAGGTGGAGGAGGGTGTAGGGAAGAGGCGGTTGGATTGGTTGGAGGTGTTGTGGTTGGGGTTGATTTTCGGGTGGAGGTGGTGGAGGAGGAGAGATGGCGGCTTCGAAGTAGCCCGACGAGGGGGAGGGGGAGAACTCGTAGGGGTAATAGATCCCGGGGATGAACGAGGTAGGGCCGTCGTCGAGATTGTCGTCTGTGGCGTCTAGGGTATCCGCGGGGAACGTAAACGGAGGGCTGTGCTCAAGCGCGCCGAGCTATGTAGTAGTTTACATTAGCGTTCGATCTTGAGGTTTGAAGCATTATTGTCGACGCACCGTATCATCAAAAATATCCTGGGTATCTGGCGCCACGCTGGGAATGTCGTGTTGTTGAGAAGGGGGAACGCTCTTCGGCGAGGCGGGATCGAATTCATCGTATAAGCTCAATGGCGCCGCGCAGGAAGGCAGTGGAGCGATGCCGCCAAAGAGAAGAGGCGAGGTAGGAGGTAAAGAGCCGTTGCTCGACGACGATGGGGTATAATTCGCGTACACGTACTCGTCGTCGCCGAAATCGACGAGAACGTCGTCCATTGTTAGGGTGGGTGTGGAGCTCGAGCTCGAGCTCGACGGCGAGTTGTTGGTGTCGGCTATGAGCTCAGGCGTGAAGGCGGAAGAGCCGGAAGAGTCGTGTGTGGCGCGCTCCTGCTTGACGTCGTGCCATGGCTCAGGGTTGGTGAGGTGCTTGACGCGCATTGCAATGGTTGGGTTGTGGGGCAAAGAGCGAACTAGAACAAGAGTCAAGACTCGAGCGCTTTTATACAGAAGCGCACGGACCGAGGGCGAGATCAAAGAATCAACTGAAGTAAGGAAAAACAGTACACAAGGCGGATGTTTCCGGCTTACATGATCAGTAAAAACAGGGTTCTCAGCCAATGAGCGTGAGGAGATCTAGATAAGGGACCTACAAAACGTCACCCATAGACGCCCATATGTTGATTAGGAATAAACACCCCTGGTGCTGGTATATAGGCTCATGTCTTGTACGTAGCCATTGGAATGATTTTCAATATCCACGACGCCAGCCATACCTGGCTACAACCATTGTTTTAAGGCTATTTTCTGCTTACTCCGGGCCATTGGTCAACTATTTCCCTCGCTTTCGCTCTTGTCGTTGTTGTTTACTCATTCTCGCATCAACTCCAAATCAATTTCGTGCAAAATCAGTATTGTTGTGGTGATCGGAGCGTTGGGCAAGGACCAAATTAGAGACAAAAATAAGATGATTTCCTATTTAAGAGACCATCATAGTACAGTGCCTATTCAAGCGAAAGTTGATCCAACTCGCCC